ACCAGTGCAGCCGACGGACGAGCGAAATCAAACAAAAACAAGCAAAACCAGTGAATTGGGCCAGCCGAGGGGCCGAGCGACCGAACGGCGGCGGGCGGGCCTGGGGCGACCAGCGCAGCCGACGGACAAGCGAAAACAAGCCGAAACAAACAAGACCAATGAATGGGGCCAGCCGAGGGGCCGAGCGACCGCGGGGCGGCGGGCGGGCCTGGGGCGACCAGTGCAGCCGACGGACAAGCGAAAACAAACAAAAAACAAACAAAACCAATGAATTGGGCCAGCCGATGGGCCGAGCGCCCGCGGGGCGGCGGACGAACCTGGGGCGACCAGTGCAGCCGACGGACAAGCGAAAACAAGCAGAAACAAACAAAACCAGTGAATTTGGCCAGCCGAGGGGCCGAGCGCCCGCGGGGCGGCGGGCGAGCCTGGGGCGACCAGCGCAGCCGACGGACAAGCGAAAACAAACAAAAACAAACGAAACAGTGGAAAGGGGCCAGCCGGGGGGCCGAGCGACCGCGGGGTGGCGGGCGAGGCTGGGGCGACCAACGCAGCTGACGGACAAGCGAACACGAACAACAACAAACAACATCAGGGAATTGGGCCAGCCGAGGGGCCGAGCGAGAGAACAGCGGCGGGCGAGCCTGGGGCGACCAGTGCAGCCGACGGACAAGCGAAAACAAACAAAAACAAGCAAAACCAATGTATTTGGCCAGCCGAGGGGCCGAGCGACCGCGGAGCGGCGGGCGAGCCTGAGGCGACCGGTGCAGCCGACGGACAAGCGAAAACAAACAGAAACAAAGAAAGCCAGGGAGTGGGGCCAGCCGAGGGGCCGAGTGACCGAAAGGCGGCGGGCGAGCCTGGGGCGTCCAGTGCAGCCGACGGACAAGCGAAAACAAACAAAAACAAACAACATCAGGGAATTGGGCCAGCTGAGGGGCCGAGCGACCGAACGGCGGCGGGCGGGCCTGAGACGACCAGTGCAGCCGACGGACAAGCGAAAACAAACAGGAACAAAGAACGCCAAGGAATGGGGCCAGCCGAGGGGCCGAGCGACCGCGGGGCGGCGGGCGGGCCTGGGGCGACCAGTGCAGCCGACGGACAAGCGAACACAAACAAAAACAAACAAAACCAAGGAATGGGGCCAGCCGAGGGGCCGAGCGACCGCGGGGCGGCGGGCGTGCGCAGGGCGACCAGTGCAGCCGACGGACAAGCGAAAACAAACAGAATCAAACAAAACCAGTGAATTCGGCCAGCCGAGGGGCCGAGCGACCGAACGGCTGCGGGCGGGCCTGGGGCGGCCAGTGCAGCCGACGGACAAGCGAAAACAAACAAAAACAAACAAAACCAATGCATTTGGCCAGCCGATGGGCCGAGCGACCGAAAGGCCGCGGGCGGGCCTGGGGCGACCAGTGCAGCCGACGGACAAGCGAAAACAAACAGAAACAAACAAAACCAACGCATTTGGCCAGCCGAAGGGCCGAGCGACCGAAAGGCTGCCACTGCGATCGACGGACAAACGAAAACAAGCCAGAACAACCGAAACCAGCCAAGGAATGGGGCCATCCGAGGAGCCAAGCGACCTAGCGCTACTGCGCGCCGCTGAGACAGGGCCCGGAAATTTGCAATCTACTTCTTGTAATTGCTGTTGCTGTTGTTTTTTTGGGCGGCCCCGAATGCAATCTACTTCTTCCGCCTTCCTACTTCATGTTTCTACCTACTTCTTCCGACCGGTGGGTACTCGTCGTCTGGGTCTGCCTTCATGCATAACGCGATGGCGGAGATGTCTAAGCTGCTGGGCGAGCATTCGCTCACTGTTATGATGGACATGTGGAAGTGCTTCGGCACGGTCAAGATCAGCAGTCTGTTTAGTGAGGCTCGAGAAGTTGGCTACCCTTTGCGATTACTTTGGCAGTTGGTGACTTCTTACAAAATGCCTCGAGCTGTGAAAGCGTGTGGGTCGGTGTCTGTCCTACAAGAAGTGGGGCAGGGCATCCTGCCTGGATGCGCGCACGCCACGACGCTGCTGACGGTGTTGATGATTCGTACGTTGATTAGGGTGAAGGAGATTTGTCCGACTATTCACCCTCGGGCTCTTGTGGACGACGGAAAATTGCAATGGGTGGGGCAGGACTTGCAAGAGATGGTCGAGCTGGTCAAGGCTACTCGCATTTTCAAGAGTGGCATGAGAAGGCTCGGCCTGCTGGTCCAGCCCGTCAAGTCGGGCTACGTGGGCACCACCAGAGAGGCGCTCAAGAAGTTTTCTCCGTGGGCCAAGGTGCTTAGGCTAACTCAGAGGAAGCAGATGCGCAATTGAGGACATGATATGGTAGGGGGACGTGTGATTCGAACGGTTGCGAAAGGTCGTCTGGATAAGCTGCAGAAACGAATGGGGCGCGTCAGGGTGCTCCAGAAGGCTGCTGGATCCAAGGTGGGGGCCAGTTGGCGGTTTGGGCTGCTGGCAGGGGCCGCACACGGCAGCTCTGTCTCGGGCGTTCCTGACTGTGACCTGAAGCGGCTCAGGCAGACGGCTGGGGTTATCGCTGGGGTTCACGCCAAAGGAGTCAGTGTCACGGCCTACTTGGCGTCGCAGCGTGACCCGTACATGGGCCCGATCTTTGATGCAACGCTCAACATGGTGTATATGTACTGCTGTTTCGTGTTCGACATGAGGATGGACATGGGCAAGCTCGAGCGGGTTTGGCGTGTACTCAAAGACCTGTGGCATGGACGCGATCCAGGCTGGCAGGGAGTTCGAGGACCGATAGCTGCGACCTGGCTGTCATTGAGGAGAGTAGGCTGGGAGATGGCTAGCAGCACGCTTATCGTCAGTGACACGGGCATGGTGATTTCGTTGCTGCAGATGCCTCCCAAGGATGTTCGAAAGTTGTTGATCCTTAGGGTTCAACGGTGGCAAGGCCGAAGGATCCTGGAGCATCATGCTGAACACTTGGAGGGAGGCGAGTCCTTGTGGATGCGTGCTGTGCATCTTACCGTTGGTGGTAAGGCAGCCACCATCAAGAACGCACAGGTCGCGGGTGCCCTCCGCTGCCTTTGGGCTGGTGGCTACATGACTGTGCAGAAGAGGCATCAACGAGGATGGTTGCCTACGCCACACTGCCCACATCCTGACTGTCGTGAACTACGTGCTGTCGGAGATCTTGGTCATCTTTGGTACGCTTGTCCGAATTTGCTTGAACAGAATGATGCTGGCGGTCTGCCAGCCTGGTCCGAGGAGATGGAAAAAACGCGTGATCGTCTGTCTGAGGAGGGAGTCAATGTCATGGGGCAGGACAGTTTTCACCTGCTGAAGTTTTGTATTGGGCTCCCCCAGGCTCCTCCTGATCTCCCCCCTCCGTCCTCCGAGCCTCCCACCTTCTTCTGGGGGGACTGGGGGTCGAAGCCTGAGGGGTGGGGTCCCACTGCCTTCTTTGATGGGTCTGGGATGCACAGCGCCTGGCCTGAATTCAGGCGATGCGGATGGTCGGCTGTTCAGATGGGAGAGTTTGGCCTCCCTGTTCGTGCAGCCTACGGTCCACTCCCAGGCCCTATTCAGTCTGTAGGCAGAGCTGAAAGACATGCGCTCTTGCGGGGGCTTCAGTTGTTGCCGCGTTTAGTGCTTTCCGTTTCGGATCTCCTTGGGGCCGTGCGTGAGGGGGTTGAATGGTCTCCTGAGCATGCGTCTGCCGCGTCCGCCCACGCTGATATCTGGAGGCAAAATTTTAGCGTTGCTCAGGGGAGGGAGAACCCGAAGGCTCCCATGTATGAATGGGTGCCTGGAGGAGTTTCTTGAGCGAGGACAATGGCCCGTGTCTTGGTGGTTTGGCAATATGTGGGCGGATTTCTTTGCCAAGATGGGGGCCTGCTCGCACAAGGTTGCGGACTCTTCTGGTGATTACTGGTCTGATCAGCTTGTCATGGGTAGGAATAATGCAAAGTTTTTTGGCTGGGCTGCTGCCCAGCATGCGGCACATAGAGGAGTTGTGGGTGCGCAGCTGGAGGCCCTTCGGGAGAGGGGCACCCCTAGGCCTTCTGCTGAAGTCGCCCGCTCCCTACGTGCGCCCCCCTTCTTCGCTTCCAGGATCATGTGTTCTGGCGTGCTGGTGAGTTCATGGTCTGTCGATCCTGCCTGGCCAGGGCGAGAGCGGAGGCTTCGCGTAAATGGCTCACTCAAGGCAGTGGGCGAGAGTGTAACCCCTCCCCTTTGCAGCGGGAGCGTGCCCGCCTGGCTTTTTCTAAAGGTGGTTTGTATGCTGCTGCGTCCCCCCTGGCCAGGCCAGAGGCGATCCAGTCTGCGTTGTCTGGCGCGTTGGAGGTCCTGGGGCCCGAGGTTTCTGGGGCTGAGCCCACGTCTAGCTCTGGTGTGCCTGGGTCTGGATCGGTCTCGGAGCCCAGGACTGGGGGGGGGGGGCGGGGAGTGTGAGTTTCAGGTTTTCACTTCTCTGGGGCACGTGATGGAGCGTGCAGGCCCATACATCTTCTGCACGGCGTGCGGGTCGTATTGCGCTCAGAGGATGGGGCCCAGGCTGCGTTCGGTGTGCAAGCCCCCGAGTTCGGGGGTGCTGCCTGATCGGGTGAGGAAGTATCTTGCGAACATCCGTGATGGCCTGCACCCGAAGTCTGGTTTAAAGCTCTCAGGGGCCGCCCCCCAGGAGTGATTTTGTTGGCCCCGTTCCCCCCCCCGTCGTCGTCGCGTCGCCTCCCCCCCCGCCGCGTGCGTCTTCTATTTCGGCACGTTCATGGCGCTGGAGGTCCAGGCACCGACGCGCGGTCGGGTAAGGGGGCGGGGCTCTCTCTCTCTCTCTCTCTTTTATAATCAGGGCGCCTGCGGGTAACTTGCTGGCGTCTTTTGGCCTTGTATCTCTTGTACCTCCTCCTCCTCCTCCTCCTCCTCCTCCTCCTCCCACGTCCCTCATCCCTCCTTGGCACGTCCCTCCTCCCCCCGCCCCCTCTCTCCTTCCTCATTCCCCCCTTTCCCCACTCCTTTTCCATCCTCTGGCGAGGCGCTCGCTTCTGGGCCCCCGCGCAGCGCTTCGGGCGCCTGGAGGGCCAGGACGGCCGCTCGCTTGGCACCGCGAGACCCCATGTCCAACGGTGGGGAGTCCTGGGCGTCCCGCGCGAGGGCTTGCCGGCAGGCATGGCAAGGGCGGGATTGAGGTCACAGGGGGGGGGAGGTGACGCTCTCCGCCTTTCCCAGCCCTTCCCCTCCCAGCTCCCCTTCCCCCTCCCCCCTCCTCCCATCTGCATCCTCCTCCTCCTCCTGTTTGTTCATACTTTTTCTCCTCGTCGTCGTCGTCCCCCTCCTCCTCCTCCCCTCCTCTCCTCCGTCCTCCTCCTCCTCCTCCTCCTCCTTCCTCCTCCTCCTCCTCCTCATCATCATCATCATCATCATCATCATCAGCATCATCATCATCATCATCCTCATCCTCATCCTCCCCATCATCATCCTCATCTACCTCCTCTGTCCTCCCCGCCCTTCCCTTCCAGCTCCCCCCCGCTTCCTTTTTCCGCATCCTCCCCACCCCCTCCCCCGCACCCGTCCAATGCCCGTGCCCGTCTGCCTGCCGCTCTCCCCTCCAGGTGCCCAGGTACGGTGCAGCACGAAGCAGGGGAATTCTCTGTCACAAGCAAAGTCCGTGGCTTCAGTGCGGCATAACCTGGCCGCAGGTGCGTTCCACGTTGGCCTCCCGTTCCCACCGCCTTCCACATTGGCCTCCCGTTCCCACTGCCTTCCACGTTGGCCTCCCGTTCCCACCGCCTTCCTCGCTTCTCCCTCCCCCCTTCCTCCCTCCGCCTCCCCATCACCCCCTCTCCCCTCCCCTCCATTCGCCCTCCCCCCCCCCTCCCCCCCCCTCCCGTCCCCCACTCTCGCCTCCCCCCTTTTTTTCAGTCGTTCGATACTTCGTTGTTTTTCGTCGTCGTCTTTCTCTCTTCCTCTCTCTCTCTCTCTCTCTCTTTATCTCTCTCTATCCGTCTTTGTGTGTCTCTCCCACCCCCACATATTTGAGGTAGCATGTCTAAACAACGGTTGCACCCGTTTGAACTTCCAGGCCTGTTTGCCTTCTGCCTCCTTTTCTGGCTTGGTTCAACGAGAAGAATTCGGATTGCCAGTCCTAATGGACCTCACAAGTCCGTCCTCAGTGCTGCAATGGTGTTGGCGTTATTTCTTTTGCGTCGGCTGTGGATCCCGACTATCGATGCTACTCGCCAAAAGACTGGTAATTAAGCATCCGATCATCTGCGTTGCAGTGCTCAATGTTTTGTACCACTCTGGAGAATCTGAGTGCACATTCAGGCCAGGCCCCTATGGCCAGGATCAGACGGCGGCGACCAGAAATCACAACCAAAGCACAAGAAGTAGCCCCTTGGTGCAAACACTGCTCGGATAATCATATTCCATTTCGCAGCCACAATCGCAACACCACATGCTGGGAGCCCCTAGCATTGTAGGGGCCTTTGGAGCCTTTGCGACGCTCCCAGTAGGCCATAGTGCCCCATGGGATGTTTCTGGAGATTCCTGCTGAGCCCATGGGAACTTCGGAGGATTTTGGGTATCTGAAGGCTCTGGGAGGCCCCCGGGGCGCTCTTGGAAGCCCGTGCAGGCCATTGGGAGTTCCTGGATGCTTTGCGGAGGCGCCTGGCGGCTCCTTGCCGGAATCTCCAGTGAAGTTTTTGGAGGCTTCTGAAGGCCTCTGGAATCTCCCGGGATGCTTCTTGGAAACCTCTAGGAGGCGTTTGGAGGTCCCTGTTCTTGGCAGGCACCTTGGAGCGTGGAGGCCCCCAGCAGGCCCTGAAACGCTCCCAAGAGGTACGTGTCCCCCCCGAGGCTCGTGGGAATATTTGCACCCCTTGGGGAAGTACTGAAGATACCAGGGGGCTCCTGGGGCGCCCTTCGACGCCCCTGGATGCGCCCGGGGAGCGTCTGACAGGCCTTCTACATGTTGCGCTGCGCTGTTTTGTTATCGATGAGAATTCGGCCTTCTCGACTTTCCACGCAGGTCCACGACCCTCCCTCCTTCTCTACCATTTTCATGGTTTCCCTTATTGGAAGATGTTTGAACACATGTCCAGAAACGGATGAGAGGTTGAGTGGCAACGTCTACCTCCACATGTACTTAGTATGTTTGCGGGAGTTGACCCCTAAACCGTGTTTTTGCTCAATGTGGATGTGGACTCTATATGCGGTGGGCGCAATGTGGCGCAATACAGGTGATGGAAGTTGTGCGGCGGAAGCTGTGTGGGGCGATGGCGGCGGCCAGTAACCGGCAATTCTGCAGTAACCGGTAGGGGATGCCGGCAAGGGCTTACGGCATCGGTAAGGCGGATGCCCCACGCGGTAACTATAAAGGTGTTTGAGCAATGCAGTGGAAGCTAGGTGTTGGAAGTTATGCGGCCCAAGCTATGTGGTGGACGCATGTGGTGAAATTAATGTGGTGCATTTATGTGGTGAACTTACTGAAGTCGTCAACTCAAATACATGAGCAAGCACCACGCCTATCCACCCGCAACTTGTTGGTAAACAGTATTTCGCGCAAGGACGCGGTGACGAGTCTCATGCAGGTCTATGATTCGGTTGGGCGAGTTGTGATGGTCAGACGACGGCATTGGTGACGACGATGATGTTGATGAAGATGTTGATGATGGTTATGATGGCGATGATGATGCTGATGCTGCTGATGACGATGCTCTTGATGCCGATGACGGTGATGCTGATGATGATGATGATGATTATGACGACGATGATGATGTTGATGATGTCGATGATGACAATGATGATGCTGATGATGATGCTGATCATGGGTGCTGGATGATGATGATGATGATGATGATGATGATGATGGTGATGGTGATGGTGATGGTGATGGTGATGGTGATGGTGATGGTGATGGTGATGGTGATGATGGTGGTTGTGATGATGATGGTGATGATGAGGGTGATGATTACGATGCTTATGGCGATGATGGTGGTGAATGTGATGCTGGTGGTGGTGGTGGCGATGAGGACGGCGACGGCGACGACACTGACAATGACGATGTGGCTGAGCACCTTTTTACTGGAATGCGTGGACAACCAATCGTTGTGAACTGGTTTCGATATGCGCGCGCAGAAGTCATCGATTTCGTCACGTGCGGTGGAGAAGAAGCCTTTGGCGACGTCTTGAGTCGTGAGTCAGACTGCGTTTGCGTGGTCGCTCCACCTGTCGGCGCAGGCCTCCCCCTTTCATGTGCCCTCGGGAGGGCCCTGCGGCTCGCTGCGGGCTGGAATTCCTCCGATGCGAGAGAACGGCCGCATTTTCGACCAGCTTCCCGCACCACCGCATCACGCTGCAGCGGACTCGTGTTTTGGGTTATGGCTCTTCGAGGGCGCCCTCTTCCGCGTAATCAAGACGCGGCTTGGCCGCTGGTGTGTCCGGGGGGTGGAAGTGCTGCAGCAGGTGGGTCGGGCGGATGTGGCCCCCCTGAGCCCCTTTCCCAGGTGGCCCTGACCGCTGGCACTTCGGTGTCGCCGAAGATGATCCAGCTGTTGGCCCTCTGTCCATGGTCCCTTTCTCGGCCACGCTTTCTCGCCACCCCTGAGCATCTGCATTGCCTCCTCCACAATAAGCGAAGAGGGTTCGGCGGATGAGTGCCCTCGGACCCCGAATCGGCGGATTTCGTCAGAGCTGCGGGTCTCGCATCTGACCTCCCGTATTGTTCGAGAGCTCGCCGATGATTGTGGATCGAGCTCTCTTGGGGACGATCGACCTCCTCCCTCTCCTCCTCCTCTGATTTCATCCTTTTCTGCTCTTCTTCCCCGCCAGGAGGGATACCCTGGCCGCAGGGGGCGTGGACACGCTTATGCGGATCGCACGCTCATATGCAGGACTCTCACCGACCCCCCTCTCTGGTGTTTTTCTTTGCAGCCCTTTGCAGCCCTATGTGCGGGGGCCTTCGTCCCACAGGATCCAGCCGATCAGAGTGTACGTTTCTTGACGGATGCTTGTTCTGTCCGCAGCGTGGCTTTTCGCCGTTGCATGTCGAAGCATGTCGTTCTTCTTCAAGGAGGCTTCGCCCACGGTGGTCTATACCTACTTTGCGCAAAAGGACTAGTTGTCATGCACGTGCTGCACCTCTTTGCTGGATCCCTCGGAGGGCGCTCAGAACGCTCAGCGCCTCATCTGGGGACTGCCTGTTCCTGTTTCCTCTGTGAGGCCCTGCTGGTTCATCGAGAGATACAGTGCTGGGCTGCACGATGCCGCGTTGTGCTGTGCCATGTTTTGCAGTGGTACGCTATGGCTTGTGGGGTTATGCTGAGTTATGCAATGCTGCACTTTGCTGTCGATGTGGCTGCGCTGATCCTTTTTTCGTCCCGCCATATTGTCAAGTGCTACGATGTGATGAGCTATGCAATGCCATGGCAGGCTGTGATATTGAGATAACGCTGGGTCTCTACAGAAGCACTCCGCGATTCTTCTCCAAGTCCTGGGTCCTAAGGTAAGTTACCCCTGCCATCTTCAGAGGAGGAGATGCGGGAGGAGGAGGAGGATTAGGAGGAAGAGGAGAGGAAGAGGAATATAAAGAGGAGGAGACGCAGGGAGGGATGATGATGATGGTGATGATGATGATGATGATGGTGATGATGATGCTGCTGATGATGATGATGATTCGGAGGAGGAGGAGGAGGACGACGACGAGGAAGTGTTAGTTTATAGCGTTCCGACTGGGTGAGAAGCATTTTAGAGTTCGCGTGATGTTAAGGAAACATCTCTCCCACTAAGGGGGATGGCAGTTATTGTGCAATGGCACCATTTGGCTCAAGTCTTGTTTTCCTCTAGGGGAACAATGCTCTTACGATATTTTCATGGTGGCGGGGCCCGTGGTTGGCCCCACGGAATTCCATTGCGCACGGTTAACTCCGCGAAGCAGTCGCCTCCCTGCGATGACGGTTCCGCCGGAGGTGGGTATAGCTGGCCCAGGTTTTGACGTGACGTTATCCGAGTTCCGAGAGGCGTGGTATAATTTGATCACGAACGGTTTTGCGGAAATGTGCAATTCCGGTTGCGAGGACGGAGGCTGCAGGTACGTTAGCACGGCACTTACGGCCAATGGTGCAGGGATGAGGTCGTCGTTCGGATGCAACGTGACGAGGCTTGCACAACGTTGCAGATCACCTGCAATATGAAAGCCCTTTTGATGTTGGTCGTCAGTCGCAACATGTTCTGCGAGGAAAAAATCAACAACCTGAAGGAAGACGTTGGGACGGAACTCCAACGACAAGCGATACCAAAACCGCGTTGGCCATACAATCAGTTCGGAACATCAGAGCGACAACCAGTTGAATTCCCTTTCCCAAGTGAAGCATGGTTATCGGGAAGCCTTGACACATTTGCACAACATGCTCGAGACCATGGCTGGTATGATAAAGATCAGGCATGGTACGTTAGCGTTCAGCGGCTATACCAAGGCGTCACAAACCAAGATGCAAGAGGACGGCGCGAATGGTGGATATGTTTTACACGAGGACGGCTACGCCAAGTTGGACGAGGACCTCGGGTATCTCAGGGGACGGCACCCAGCGGAAAGCTCACAGGTCTTCGCGAAAGTGACGGCTTAATGGCTTACCGGAAGATATACGCCGATACAAAAAAAAGAGGATTATGGACATCAGCCGAGTCAACGATGAAGGTATTGGCGGTTGCGGCACTGGCGTGGACGATCCCGGCTATTACGGCGAATGCGGAAGCTTGTGGACTTGGATTGTGCAAGACATGAGCAGAAGCAGCGACGTGGATGAGGTGGGCAAATGGAAAAGGCATATGTAAATGCCCTTGTGTTACAAGTGTGGAAGATATGGGCTCATTGCCAATGACCTGCGCCACTAAATGAACCGCGAGAGGAAAATATGCGGAACAGGGGAGTTCAAAGGAGTAAAAGGTGACCAACGGGTGCAGGCAGGAGGATACAAAGGGAATATCAAGGCACCACGGTGTACCATAGGTGCTACGTCAAGGGTGGCCGGCATGTAGATCCCCCGGGAGATTGCCAGGGGAGCCGCGCCCCACGCTGGAAAAGAAGAGGCAAGGACATATTTGCGCCGATCAGCGAGAGGGAGTGCTGCAATTTCGCTGGAAAAGGTCACATCGCAGCCCGCTACCCCAAGAACGCCAACGAGGTCACCCTGGGTTGCGGGGGGCAGGGGGCGCAGGAGAGCCCGCGCAAATCTTAAGGCAACCCCGCGCATGGACCGGGATGCTACAGCGTCTAAATGGGCGAAGCCACTGACGCAGGTGGAGTTACCGGCAACGGCCAGTTAAAAAGGCACATGGGGTGCAGGACGCAGTACTGGGAAACAAAGGGGAGGAACAGGAAGGCGAGGTTAGGGGTCAAGGGGAGGTGCGTGCCACATCGGCGCAGTGTTAATTAACTGCGACCACAACACCAACCAGGGCAAGCCAATCGCACAATAAGCAGAGAAGTTGGATGCAAAAGTACGCCAGGCGGCAGCTTGTGGAGATGGAGGGGCCCGAGAAGGAAGTTAATGGGTGCCAGCTAGGGACCGGGACAGCGGCGTGGAAACGATAGTTGCCGCCGTGGACTACGAAGCATCCATCTCGGTTGGGCCCCCGAACTTATGGGCCGACTTCCCCGTTGAACCCGCGGGGGCCTCGTCGCGCTGCAAGCACTGCAGCGCAGTTACTTGGTCAGTTATAGAGAACCGTGGACAAGGAGCTATTGTGGGTGAGCGCGAAAATTGGTACATGGTGAGCGTGCCCGTCCAAGTGGCCGATGTTCTCGGGTCTGCGCGTGAAATTGTGGCATCAGAAAACCGCGCAGTGTTAGATCGGGGCAGCGCTGGGCGGCCCTGCAATTGCCGCGGGCATATCAGACGGGGACAGAAGACGACGATAAATGATAAAAGCGGCAACTTACAGTTCATCTTGCGGGCCCCCGAAGGCATGGCACGTCAGGGGGGGGGGGGGGCGGCGAGGGAAGTCGAGGCAGTTCGCGCGGGGAGCTGCGGGGGCTTCCCAGCCAGGGAACTCTAATGGCCGACCAGTTCCACTGAGCCCGAGTGAGCCCGTAAGCCCTAGTCAAAGAAGAAAAGGATGAGGGCGATGATGGGGGCAGCGAATTAAGTGGCGCGGTTTGCGCATGCGTCGGCGATGCTGCCGAGGCACCTACGAAGGGTCGCGCGCGATCTCAAACTGGGCAACATATAGGTCGCAGAGCCGAGCTCGCTTACCCCGCCGAAGCCGGCGCCCCCGCTGCGTCAGATGAACGGCCAGGAGGGGGCCCCACAGAAAGAAGTTACTGATGCCAGGACGTGGTGTGCCAGTGATTTCAGCCGGCTCCAGGTGGTCAAGCGGGGAGAGAGGAGACGTCGAGGAAGCGAGGCGGGGCGGGCCCAATCATCTCCACGCGCGTTCGGGGCGCAAAGTTTTCCGGGGGTCGAGCGTGGCCCAGCGCGGGAGGGCATCGTTCTGCACTCGGTCAAGGTATCTTGCGATGTGATTTCATTCGCTGAGCACGCGAGGGCGATCCTCAAAAGCGATGGGTGGGTCATCCGTTGCGGCGCTCATGGAAGCCGCCGAAGCCTCGCGCGGCCTCGGCAGTGGGGCGGAAGTTAGCCCCGTCGGAGACCCGCAAGGTAATGGCGAAGTCGAATGGGCAGTCATGACGATGCAAATTCAAATTGGAATTATGAGGGTAGCTTTGGGGCACAGGTGTAGCACTGACTACGGTGAAGGACATTCCTTTGTAGGTTGGTGAGTGGACTCTGCTTTTTTTCCCCATGACAAGTCTGCGATGGACGCCGATGGCAAGAGGGCCCGCGAAAGTTGCCGGGGATGGAAATTCAACGAATCGTTGCCCCAGTTTGGAGAATGCCACGCACGTGGAGACTCCGTTTTAAAAAGGGGACAACGACCTCGATGCAAGGTGGGAGAGCGGCGCATTTCTGGGAGCGCACGAAACCAGCCAAGAGCTCATCATTGGCACTCCAGGGGGCGCCATGAAGTCTCGCGGCTTCTAGCGACGTGAAAGGGTTGCCCTAGCAACCGGACCTGAACGCGCGTGGAATGGAGTTTAGAGCCAGAGTGATATCACCAATGGCGGTGCCCAGTCAAGGTTCAGTTGCAAATGCCCGGCCGCGAGTGGCTCGAGGAATCGCGGCGAGGAGGTCGGAGTGCAGGGCCGCGGGGCCTGCGTTGGGCTGTCGCGGTCGCGCGGCGCTAGTCAGAGGAGACGCGGGCCGCAAACCAGACAGTGCAGGACGTCGACGGCGCTTTGCCCAATGGTTTACAAGACAAGACGGCCCGAACATCCAGGAAATATTGGCGGCGTCTCCGCTGGGGGTGGAGTCCGGCAGTTTCCGGCGGGGCAAGGGCGCGAAGGGCCCGTCAGAGGGCGACTGGGCTGTAAAAATGAAAATTGACAATTCGATGGCGTCGTGGGCCCGGAAACAGAATGCGCGCGCCTACGGCCATCGGGGTTGGGGCCCCCGAGCGATTGTGCAGTGAGCAACTTGTGGAATTGAGGATGCAATCGACGGTTGGGGAGATGAGGTGAAAGGGGCTGGCGAGGGCCTTGGGCGGGATGGATTGAGTTTCGCGTTATCTCCGGGGGCGATGGCGACGGGCGACCTGTTAACGTTACCCCGCCAAGGTCAGCAGGAGAAGTCAGAGAGGAAGACGAGGAGGACTAAGAAATGCAGCAAGGGAGTTCAGGATTCGCAGCGGGCGAGAAGCCCGACGACGTGAACATGGGGGCCACTGCGCCCGGGCAGGGGAACAAATGACGCGATCATATGAACGCCGACGAGATGCCGCCCAGTAGAGATGGCAGACTTTGACGCCGACATAGCGGGGAGGTCTCCCAGAGTCT